ACCACTATAAGCAAGCAATAAAAATTTAGAAGAGGTTGAAGGTTACACACTGGTTAGTGGTGAAGGTTCTTCCACTAATATCACTGGTTAACAGTACTGTTATAACCGCAATGTGGAATGCATGGTGCTGCATTTAAAGGAAGTGGTAAGGGTGGGGCAAAAGCAGTAGGTCCCACGATCAAAGCACTAGAGCATTGAATTTTACTTACAACCCAATCACTGACACCCACACAGCAACTTCCTGCACTTTAAAAAAAAAAAAGAAAAAAAAGAAAAAAAAAGAAAAAAGAGGAAAAAAATCTGTTTCTCTCTTTTTGTAATCAACAACTTTTACCTAGAAACTAGTTAGCGGTGAACTCTGACTGATTTCAATCTGCAGCTCATGGCAGAAAACATAATTATTGATCTGTGAGAACCTACAAGAACCATTTTAACTGACAGGTTTCAGTGGATCAGCTCTTTCAGACTTTTTCATTCTTAATTACACAAAAGTCCTACAAAACCCAAAAACTACTGTAAGAAATATAAAGCAACCAGAAGTTCAGTAGTGCTAAACACTACAGGTAATCCTCTATGACAGAAAATAAAATGTACTTATACATCTACAAAAAACTTAGCTATGTTTTAGGACCACTTGAGAAAATAATTTCCACTGGAATTCAGATCCCTGTCACAGGGCACCTTTGCTTTAGTATGTCAATATACACTACTATTAATTTTGTTAATATAAGTAATTAATACTGTCTTGTTTTCCGTTTATCACAGCCCATTATGCAAAGCACAGGCTTGTTTATATCTGGATTATTTTGTGGTGCTTTCTGAGCATTATTCAAGCTATAGCATCAATAAATATAGAAAACCTTCCATTTCTTTACAAAGAAAGCTTCAAGTTCTCCAGTACCACCTAGTGAACATCAAATTACTTCAACCAAATCCCAGGAGAGCTGTATGAAACCTAATGTCCATTAGGACCTTCATGAAGAGAAAGAACATGCACATACTCCCTTGGGGATTTTTATTACAGCAGTCTAGTCACAAGAGCTAAAGGGCTTTTTCTTAGCTGATCTTCCTCAACCTAAAACGAGAATCTTACATCAGGTAAGGGACAGAGAGGCTGATTTTTCAAATCTTGGCATGTAACAGATATGTTGGAGCTTTGATGTACACTGGTATCCAGGCTTGCTTCTTCTGAAACACCTTCTTCTTGTCATTCTCTATTTTATTCACTGATTTATTAGCCTTCCTCCAATTCTCTTTAAAGATTCTGCATTTTGCCTTTAAATAATGACATTGAAAAAAACAAAACAAAGCATTGAATCAGAAAAACAAACATGAAATTTCTCTTGGAGCAGGCAGAGATCAGTTTAAGGTTCTGTAACATCTAAAAGATCTTATAAGACACTGGTTCAAAAAGGAGAAAGAAGAAAAATAATTTATGAAGAACAGAACAAGCATAAGCCTGAGATTCAGCCTAAGATACAACTTTAAGGAAATAATCTCATGATTGTCACCCCCTCTCTTAACCTTAGTTTTCGAGAAGAGAAAGATACAGATCTCAAGGGTGTCTAATCCATGCCACACAGTAAGCGCCTATCCTTGCCAGATAGTAACAACCACAGGCAGCTTTGAACTGAAGTATCTGCTAATACAGTCAGTAGATCATAGCTGCTTCTCAATGTCCAAGCTCTGGGGAAAAAAACCCAAACCAAACACCACTGAAAACCAACCAACCAAAACAACCAATCAATCTTCACTTTACAAGCAGCCAGCAAACAGGTCAGGATTTATAAGGCCAGACGACGATTACCCACTGCAACCCTGGTACTGACAAAGCCGGCAGTAGCAGAGAAGCTCCCTTAAGCATGGTACGAAAACTGTCTTCCAGAGCCTTCACACGAGAGCAGCTAATGTGAACTACACGTTCCTTTTCCAGGTTTTTTTCCAGATGCATCTGAAGGCCTTTTGATCTGACCTTCACTAAATGGCAAACAGAGGCTATGTCAGAAGTGCTTCCCTGGTCTTGTGCTCCGTTCCAAAGGTTTGCTCTGCCTTTGTCTTTGTGAAGAAGTGAGACCTGATGCCCAATTCCACATTCATCTGGACAAAACCTAGACAAGGTGGGCAAGAAGGGAACTACGGCATGCTTTGGCCACACCATGATTTGTCCAGGACACCCTGCAATACCTCGATGGATCCATCAGACAATGCTTGCATGTCACGTAACCCCTAAAAACCTTTGCATATAGAAAAGCCCTGAATCGGGAACAGTCCCTGGTGGATTTTGCTAGTTTCCCCTATCAACAACTACTTGGGAAATCAGATAGCTTTCAATGCCCTGCAAAAATATTTACTAGTATTTTCTACTTGACTGTAGAGTGTCAAGTAGAGGACAAGTCAAGCTTTATATTAGATCTTCACTGCACCTGCCTAACAAAATGCAAACAAACCATACAAGTGCTTGTCAATATTAAAAATCCCTCCCAACAGAAAGAACAGTTTTACTAAAAAGACTATGAACTGGGAACAGAAAGGCAAACTACAGATTTGTCTGGTAATAACTAGCATTTATTCATCCTTCAGCAAGATCTTTATCACCTACTTGTTTTTTAATTAAATAGACCAATGAGAAAGGTAAGAAACAACGGAAGTTTCTTGTCTGTTGTTTGTTTTCTGAGCAGTGTTCCCATTTCTAACACACACTTGTACGCCTGTATCTCTTGCTAGAATCACAGTATATTACTATATAATTTCTCATGCTTTAAGTAACCACTGAAGATTGCTTTAGTTGTGGAAGGAAGGGAGGAGTATAACTGCATAAGCACATGAGGCTCATTTGCTTTAAAAAAAACCCCCTGCTTTGTTTCCTCCTTAGTCTATTTTATCATAACAACATTTGCTTTTGGTAGAGCAGTGGAACCTTACAAATATTGTGTCTCCCAAGAAGAGGGGAAGGTACACATTTAAACAAATTTTTTAAAAGACTGATTAGAGGCTGAGTGCACGTCTAAAATCAAAACAAATTATTAAAGCTAAATGTTCTCCAAAATTCCTCAGCATGTACAAAAGAGGGAATGAAGAGACATAAATCAAAAAAGCCCAAACAAACCCATATAGGTGAGTCAATCCTATGGCATGTATTTCTCATCTTTGCTGCTTACTTTTATACTGTATTTGCTAGGAAGAATCATGTTTCGAACAAGAAATAGAAAGAAACCACATGAAAGAGGTAATATAGGTGTATTTAGTAATTTTTTGACTCATTCAACTTTATATAGGCCCTTTAAACACCAGATTATTTTATGTAGACATTTCTTAAAAAGATGGCCACTTACATACTTTCCTTGAAAACCGAATAAGGAAAGAAAAATAACATCACTCACAATGGCAAGTAAGATTACCTCCAGCTTTTCTATTTCTACTTTTATTCATTTGTGTCCTATTAGTTGATATTTTTCAACATTTACATATTATGGGTTTTTTTAATTACTAAAGGCTCTCTAGTACCCCAATAGTAGAAAATATTTACATAAAGCATGGATGGAACAGACCGCTTCAAGAACTCTTCCACAATCCTGACAAATTTTCATCAATACTCACCTACACAGAACCTCCTAATTTGGTTTCAGGGTTTTAGTGTGCATCATCATCTCTTGAGCAATAGAATCACAGTAATAGGAACAAACAAATGCTGCAGCAATGGCCTGCTCATAAGTCTACTCTATTAGATAATATTTTCCAAACCTTGGATAATCTATGGGATAGTTAATGACATCTTCAGTATACCCTAGTAGTGGAAATCACTTTTCATGTTACATAAGGAGCTAGTTTTAGCATAACTGGTTTGCAAAACCAGCCAAATCAACAATACCTGTTATAAACAGGATGGGAGCAGGGTGCATGCTTTGCTCCAAAATGCAACAGCACAAAGGTAGACAATCCACATATTTAGACAAGGAGATATTAATAATAGATCTGTTTTCTTTGTATTATGCTTCTTAACAGTGTCAGTGGATACCTGAGAATACTAGATGTTGATCCACATGTTTAATGCAAAATTATGTGCCTATTCGTAAGCAGATTCCAGCTTTTTTTTTGAGCCAACTAAATGTTCACTGCTAGTATTAACTGAATTATACCACTGTAGCTAAAAGGAGACTTGAAACTAACAGCTCTACGTGGCTTCAGTTCTTAAAACAGTTTCGCTGGTATCTGAATATTTTGAAAATCAACTCTAGGGAGGGCGAACAAGTTGAATCTCCATTAAAAGAGATCTTATTTTCAATTAAGAAGACTCATACATTTCTAAGAATTTCCATACATAATGGACTTGAAGAAGGAACAAGCTGTACATTCAGAAAGTAGTTTATATTTAATTAATGCAGCAATGCATGAATGCAAGAATGATAGATCCGGACACATCAGGACAGGTCCATCTAGCCCTGTACCCTGTTCTTGTTAGTATCTAGCAGCAGATACTTGAGGAAGAACATCAAAACAAGGTAAAGATCCAGCCATGCTTCAAGACTACCTTGCAAACATTCAGCAATACAAGAGTCAGAGAGGGTATTTTGGCTTTTGGTAGACCCTGTTGCCCTTGTTGGATTTTTCTTCTAAGATTCATCTAGTTGTTTTTTTAAGCCCTTTTAAATGTTTTTGCATTCACTATATTCTCTGGCAAAAAAAAAAAAAAATCCTAAAGTTAGCATTTACTAATCTCATTTGTTGCCTGCTTGGAAAAGACAGAAATTTTTTTCCCCCATTTTTCCCTGCCACAAGTGATTTTACAGATCTGTCCTACCACTCCCTAATCATCTGTTTTCCAGTCTGAAGAGTTCCAGTCTGGTTTACTGACAATTTCTGTCAATTTACTGCTAATCTCATACCTTTTTCCATGGTTGTGATATAAGATAATGAGATAAGGACAAGTTGACAGTCTTCTATGTCCAATAATATACAGAAAATTGGGGCAACTGGCTATTAAAAAAAGAAAACCTCCTTACCACTGGGTGGCTTTGGCCGTGGAGGGACATTTTTCTTCGGTGGTAACGCTGGTGTGTCTGATTTGCTTTTGAAAGGGTCATCTGAGAATCCCATCCCTCCAAAAGAGGAGGCAAAGGGGTCTGAAGCTACTGACTACATGAGAAAAAAAGACAAAAAGAATGTAAGCTCATTGTAGAGTATCTGTTGTTTCATGAAAGCTACAAGTTAACTCAAGTAAAAGCATTAACTTAAAAAAAATGAGGACAGATTTACCAAATTATGTCAATGGTGTAAGAGGCTAACGCCCACTGACAGAGGTGCTAGGATTTCATTAACATTCAAAAGTACTTATGATCTTAATCACTTAAGTACTTCTAGAACATTTAGTTCTAGCAAAAAGCTGATGAGAAACATAAAAGGAAGTAAAACTCTACTTTTTACTATTTGGCAATGAACAGTCACACTACAGTCCGACCTTCACTCTGATAAACAGAACCATGATAGAAACTGGAAAAACATGGTGGAATGCAGAATGGATAGCTTATCCCCAAGCTTTTCTTAAGTTACAAACAGCTATTTGTTTTGGTTTTTTTTAAAAGCTCAGGGAAAATTCCAAAACCATGTTTTTTACTATTTCCTACATTCATCTGGCTCTTGTGAAGGACTCTCCTATTGATTAAAAAAGACACAAAAATTATGCCATGTAGGGAAAAAAAAATCCTGAAATGAAGACAGAGGGATTTTGTAGGCAAAGCTAAAGCTCGCAGTTGGACCTTCACTGCAAGTTCTATCTCGAGCCACCAATATTTGTAAAGACTGTTGCCACCTAGTGGAGAGCTAAAATCCCCACAAAAAAAAAGTAAGAAGAGTTAGACACACCCCCCCAAGAAGTTTAATTAGTCAAAATGATCTGATAATCTATTTTCTAGTTAACATTTACTCTACAACGTTCAAGGGTTAAGTGCAAAAAGTTGGGTGGCTCATGTCAACTGTAAATTCCAAACTCCAAGATAACAGCAGACTATGACTGGTCCAGGTGATGAGGTAAGGACTTAGTGCTGTCTGAAATACCCTATATACTCAGTTTATACCAAGAAACCAAGTAAAGAGCAATTCTGTTAAGAGCTATGAAATGTCAGCACACCACGTCTTCCACCTTCCTCTAGTTCCCTGTACTCATGGAGAAGCTTAAGTCAGGATACTATGAGAGTTGAAGTATCCAAGAAGCAGACTTCAGGACTTAGAGGAAGGTTGGACACTGAAATACATTAATATCTGGAACAACTATGTTTTCTTACAAGTAAAAACTAGAAATTATTTCTTTTGCTCCTCTGGTATCTGAAAATGTTTGTGAAAAGTTCATTTATCCCTGTTGAATCTACCACCAAAGACTGCCATATCTGAGATGGATGGAAAATGCTTTGCTAAGTTACTGGTGAGGTTGATCGGAAAAAAAATTAACAAAAGTGGGCTGTCAGCTGAAAAGTTACAATCATATCACACCTTTAAAAAAGTGTCTGTACATACATTTTCAAAAGAACAGTTGGTTTCCTTGTAACCTTTACCTTTGACATCTGACTGAAGTCTGCAAATCCCTCACCACTACTGAAAGCACTGCTTCCAAATGGATCCAGTGTTCCAAATGGATCTGAAATAGATACGGGGGGACAGGGGGGGACGTTATTTAAAATAATACTTAAGAATATGAAGAAAGCTTGGTGCCCATGAAGTACAAAACTAGGCAAGTGATTAAAAAACACTTGCGTTTTGACCTGGCATGAGATGTTAAAAGATAATTCCATAAAACAACAGATTTTCTACCAGTTGTTTGGAGGACATCCGGGGGGAGGAGAAAAGAAAAAAGTGAAGTATATAGTGTACGTGAAGATTTAACCTTCACAATCCAAACTAGGACCACAATGATATTTGCCAACAGTTCACAAGACACTTTATTCTCAACTTTTACATTTGATTCTTCTTTCATAAAGAGATACCTCCTTATTCATCTTCATGAGAAAATTTTTTTCATCTTACCTGGACCTTTTGAAGAGATACTGGAAGATGTAAAAGGATCACTGCTTTCAAAAGGGTCAGGCTAAATAAGAACAGATGTAGATAATTATTGTTCTGCTGTACTGTGCATTTATGCATATCAAAATCTCTTGCTTTAAGACAAATTATTTCCAATTTCAGACCGCTCTGTTCAGTGGACATATAGTAGGATAAAATTGACTGATTATATGAAATTCGCATTATTAGTGCATTTTGCTATCGATAGCCTTGAACAAAACACCAAGTACCTACAAGTGAAACACATTCAAGTGATAAGTGTATCACACTGAAATACAAGCAATATTAGTTACCAGGGCAAAATAAGAAATGACACCCAGAAGCGTTCAGTCTTTAAGCAACAGAGACTGAATATTCAGGTCAGGCATTTACATTATTATTAATTCAGAGACTCTGTATATCGCTTCTTTGTAAACAGATGGTGTTTGCAGTTGCTCTTCACTTTGAAAAGTCTGGTGTTATCTAAGTACAAACCTATATTGCAAGACAAACTAACCTCCCACTGACTGTTACTGGGATACTGTTCTAACACTTGGGTGGCAATAGTCAATGAATGCCATAAGGGTGAGGGAAAGGATTAATTAAAAAAACAAAACAAAAAATCCATACCCACCCCCAAAACAACCACACACATACACATAAGGACAGCTTAAGAACTGTGACTATACATTTGACAAACGTGTTCTGTGCAGTCCTTCCACTGTGTTGGCTCTATTGTCTGTTGGTGGATCAGTAATCCTTTAGCCAGATCAGTTCCTCGATCCGATTCACTATGTGACTGCACAAATAGAAACATCGATGGAATGGAGGTAATGGTGTGAATGAGCAGGTGCTGGTGGGTTGCAACTCCCAACAGAGGAAAAAAAAATAAAATCCACCTAACTGCATCTTCAGGTTGAATACACATCATTATCATGGAACTGGAAAGAACAAACTGCTGCTTGCCTTAACAATCCATACTTAATTTTAAGAAAATGAATCATATTTTATTGGTTAGGAGAAAAGTATTTAGTGATATTTTGTTCCTTTTAGCTTTCAGACAATAAGCTTGTAAATAGTAAAGAAATCTGTTATGTATAGATTTAAAAATTACTGACCTTTGAGGGTAAAGTGGGGGGTTTTGTGAATGGATCTGAGGTAAATGGGTCACTCTTCACCTGTTTCTTGAAGAAATCTTCAGGGGCAGAACTACGAAATGGGTCACTTTCCTTAAACGGATCACCTCCAAATGGATCTAGGAGAAGTATGAAAAGGTAAATAGAACCTAGTGTGTCCATAATGAACCATTCTATATTTGACATCATACTCACTGATGTAATTTTTCTTATAAAAGCAAAAAGTGATTTGGTAAATCTGATAAAACTTCCAGGTATTTACTAAGGTTGGACAAGTACATGTTTATATTAAGGTTATGGAGTTAATAAAGAGTTACATGCATGCTACTAACATCTTGATCCTGAATGCACACCCTGTCAGGTTTCTAAGTTCCCACATGCAAATCAAAAAATCCGAAGCCAGGGAAACCTTGGAAATCTTTGAGTCTGGCTACAAATTGTTTATATCATATCTGCCCTGTCATCAAAAGGGCTATTACCTGCTGGAGCAGGTGGTTGTTCTGCAAAAGGATCATGCTGGAATGGGTCACCTATGCAGAATAGAAAGATCATTTGTTTTATCCACTATTTAGCAAGATGATAAAAGTTTTGTGAAAATATCATTTACTCAACAATTGGTCTTCAAGGTCTCAGGTAAGCTGCTGTTCACTTACTGCCTTTGAAAGGGTCTGCTCCCTTAAATGGATCAGATTTGAAAGGATCTTCTGACTGGAATGGGTCTGTATGCAATTCTTGTGTATTATTGTTAAACATCAAGGCTTTATTCTTAAATGGATCATCCTAAAAATTAAGAGGAGAAACATTACAGCAACTTACCACGATTAAAATGCTCAGTTACCCGTTTAGCAGAAATTCTACGGTATCTTGGTTTCTGTTTAATGATCTTAAAAATTACTTCCTAAAGAACGTTCTGAATAAGTGGCTTCTAAGCAGAAGTAGAAAGAAATATGTAGCCTGAGGCTACACAAAAGTCTATACAGATAACATGAGAAACAGTTTAACCTTTTACTATTAATATATTCACTTCTCAAATACTTAAATAACAAAACCAAACAAAACCCTCAACCACCACGCTATCCAAACATTCTTCTCTCCCAGTTATTTCACAGCTCAGCTTCAGGTAAGACAGTTATTTAAAAAAAAAGGATCCACAAATCATTTGTGGACTACAAATCCAAGAAATTACTAGTGAGTAGTTACACTCAAGATTGCTTCTTGTTGGCTCATTCTTGAGCTTAAAGCTAGCTCCAAGCACTGATTTCACATTACAAAGCACTACACGGCAGGAAGAGTGTCACCCCAACACTTTGATGATAGAGAGGTTTATCAGCGGAGGCCAACGTATAGCTTTGCCAAGTTACAAAAAAACCCTGTGTGAACAAGTAGCAAACTGAAATTATGAAACAACATCATCACATTTGTTGGCGTCTCATACCCCTGTCTTTTGTCTGGTTTGGGTCTCTTTGATGAAACCAGTCCCTGCCACAGTTGCCATATTCGCAAACAGCACCTGTACACAGAGCTCCATTGACAGACAAAGCCATTCAACTCTAACGTCAGCAACATCTAGTAACAACTACCCGCTTACACTGCCCCCAACAGTAGAAAGATACGGGATTTCTTTCATCCCTTTACAAGATGCAAACAAAGAAGTCATTAATTAATACTTCTCAGAACAGCAGGGAGGGAGGTGGGGAGAGGAGGAAGAGGAAGAATTAAGAAATAGGAAATGGACACAATGGTTTAAAAAATTTGCTATGAACATATACTGGAGTTTTTTTTCCAGTAAGTGATTCTCAGGTTTTGGAAAGAAGAGAAATATCTGGCAGTTTCCAGTGGAAGTTAAACATAAAGTTTATGCAGGCCATGCAAGCACAGAAACTAAACACTAAAGTGTTTTCAGGCCATGTCTCGCAATACATTGTTGTTTTTAATCTACAATTTTCTTCTTTCGAGCATTTTGTTTTTTACAGAGAAAGTGTAAAGCAGGGCATAAAGGCAGCATGTCTGCTGAATACTTATTGATATGCTATACACGATATATATTTAACTTCATACTAAACCTATAGTAAATACTGTGCTTACAAAGGTTCTGGAAAGTATGTTACCGTAATAAGGAAGCACCAAGTAGACGTGCAAGTAGAATCAAGCAAGTATGCAACTTCTGTATTTAAAGCGAAGAAATAGGCTTAAAAATGAAAAATCTTGTGATTTCTTAAATATCCAAACCAACGATACCCAAAAGAAATTGACTGGAAAAATCTTTAAGAACCTGAGGGATCTTATGGATTGGGAAAAACACTGATTAAAAGAAAACATAATAAATTAGTTAAATAATACTGGAATTGTTTCAGCAGAAGAGAACTATCTATGTATTTTGGGAAGGGAACATGTTTTTTACTGAAATACATAATAAACATAGCTCATTGTAAAGGAGAAATTTGATTAGGTTCTTTTGGAAATAAGGAAGTAGTACATCATTAAAGGGAAGTTTACAGCAAGAGAAGGTTTCACCTTGGTAAAACGGAGAACTTGCAAGAAACCAAACCAGCTGAATTGAAAAATAAAATCTTACCTATTTCCTGAGGCTTAAGATGTGCCAGGTTACAAATCAAGGGGCAACATGACCTTTTCTTTTTGTTTACATAATTACAGTTTGCTTACATATCCGTTCCCTTAGGGTTACACAGGCACAAAATCCTAACACAAGATCTAACCCAAAGCTTAAAAGTCTATGTTTCGATGAGCATTAAAACCTTTGCCTTGCACTGAAGATTGCCACCTTGCAGGGATCATGGTATTTGCTAACAAACCAAAAGCCAACTAAACAAACATCTTAACAATTTCAGATTAGGTGCAAGTTACAAACCTAATCATTGTAAAATACACTAAAGAACAGTAATTTTTTTCTTACCATAGCTCCGTAATTGCTTCTTTCTGTCTGCCCAAGGCCTTCACTTATGTCTGCTAAATTCGTCAGACTACCACCGTGAATCCCATTGAGAGCTTCGTTATATTCTTCTACACTCTTATTGACTTCTTGATGACTCTCTTGAAGTTGAGAAAGTTTACTTCTTGCCTAAGCAGTGAAGAATGCTTTAGTATGTTAGGCATTCAGTAACACTGTCATTCTCACATTCTCGTTAAATATGGTTGCCACAGAGTTGCATTCCCCCCCGCCCCCGAGTTGAAATCTTCCTGACTCAAACTGGGAATTAACCTACTAAGCACCAGTCAAGGAGGCTTATTTCATGAACCAGTACTTTTTTCTTCTCTTCCTTCTCATCTTTCTAGGTGATGTTCAACACTCAGTCTTTCAAGAAGCCAAAAAGAAGTTGTATAAACTACAGTGAATACCTGGTTTATTTCTTCCTGTGTTGATTTTAGAGATTTGATTATTGTTTCAAGCTGCACTTTTCCAGCCTGGATACTCTGCTCTAGCTGAGTCTCTTCTTGCTGGAGGCGATTCAGCTCTGCTTTTGCTCTATTAAGGTCATCTTCCTGTGATTTTAAATCTGATTCCTGAGATTGAATCTGCATTTTTAGTGATGAAATCTGAAACAAAATGTTACAAAGATCAGAGTGGAATTTGAAATAAATGTAACTTAATAAATTATGAATGTATAATAAATAATAGAAAGTTGTAAAGCAACCTATCAACTGCTAAGGAAAGTAACAAAAACTTAGCATGAAGAACTGCATGGTTCTTATTAAGTTACACAAAATCCTTGATAAAAGCACATTCAATAAACCCAAGAAATATTAATATTTTAAATGACAAGAATACCATACTAATTAGGTGATTAAAAGGTATTTCTTAGATAGTTACCTTGTAGTTTTCAGAACTTGGCTCCTTTTCCATTGAAACATTTATCAAGTATCATGATTTTTTAACTCTGGTAAGAGTTAAAATTACACAGTTGCATATGACTCACCTTATACACTTTCTTACATGACCTTATACACTAAGTTTCTACATTAAGATAACGTCCTACCTACACTGGCAATTGTATCCCCCTGAAAACTCACTTTTAACTCAGAATACTGACGAGGTTTGCAGTGATCAAAATATGCACCGCTGCCCATGGACTGTCTCCTGGGTCAGGAATAATGCTTCTCAATCAATTACCCTATTAGGTTGAATAAATGTTTCATATATTCACAGAACAATAACAATTTATGTAGAAAGGACCTCTGGAGATTATCTGGTTCAACCCTCCATTTATGACCATTATGAAAGGTATTTAGGTTAGCAAAATTCTTTATTGGACCTATGTATTTGTGTGGAAATGGCTATTTATGGTAAAAATGAATAAACAAAGCAAACTTGCTCATTAAATAAACAGAATTTCCTTCAAAAAAAGACACAATACTCTCGAGCATGTCCAGAATTAATGTATACTCACCACCTGTGTTTCTTCCTGGCATTTCTGCCTTACGTCATTCAACATATCTTTCAGTTTGGCTTTCTGCTGGTCCATTTCATCCAGGCGGTCTTGGGCATCTTGTTTCTGAGCTTCTAGCTCTTGCAAGTTACTTGTCTCCCTGTCTAAATCATTTTGCAGTTCCTGAGAAAAATTCCACAGTTTGTAACTTACATCTAGCTGTTATCTTATAGGAATGATCAACCACAGACAAACAGGCTAGCTAAATCCAGAAGATTTTCTATGTCATATAGGCTATTCCTCGCATGCGTATGTTTTGTTCTTGTATGAGACATCAGGAAACAAATTAGTGCCCGCAAGATGGAAAGAGACTGTGACACAGAGCACATGTAACTGAGCTATCCTAATTATCAAAACCAATACTCTTTGAACAATGATTTCCTAAATTACAGTATTAGTCAAGCATTAACAAAAAAGACATTTCAAACTGTTCATGTATCATCTTCTATTTATCTTAACCAGCATCAGAAGAAAATATTTCTGATGGAGAACAGGAAAAACAAAGATCTTTCTGTAAGTTAGAGGAAAATCCTGTGAAAGGAGGAAAGACTTGCCCAGAAGTAACATAAGGAAAGACAGAAGAAAGAATACTTAATTCCACATAAATTATTCTAGTTTAAAATGAAAACTAATAAATAGAGTTTTTACCTGAACTTCATTGGTTTTCTGTCTGATTGATTCTTCCTTTTCCCTAATGTCCTGCTCTAGTGAGTATTTTTCTCTGCAAGATAAACAAGCACGTGTGTTCATGATTAGTTAAATAATACAACACACACACGCAGACACACAAAAATCAATTAAATATTAATCTGGAAACACCACATAGCCAAAATGCCAGCCCATATTCTGATATATTCTTTAAGGGAGTAAAGGTGTATACATATCAATTATTCTTTGAAAAATACTATCTGTGCCATAACCAATCTTCCAAAGTCACCTGGTAGAATCCATAATTCGCTAACTGTAGGGTATCAGTGGGAGATTGGCCACCAACTGCAGTGACAAGTAAAGATAAACTGACTAAAAGAAAACAAAAGTAACAGATGCAGCACTACTATATACTTGATTCTCCTACTCCAGGATTTTGTTAATAGTCCACAATTATTACCTCTGCAGCTGTGCAATTTCTTGACTAATATCATCCAGTTCCTTCACCCCTGTAAATTCTCCTGATCCAACAGAACTTGAACTATCCTGTTAAGAATGAAATTGTCTATTAAAATGCCAAGTTGTAACAGAAGATCTTCCTTTACAAAGACTGAGGACAAAGGTGGGACACAATCCTCATTATATGCATTTCCAAAAGTCTATGGGAGGCATCAAATTATTATGCAACAACCACTGAGCACGCCACACAATTCTATCTGTGAGACAGGAGAATTTTCTCTGTGCCCATTTAACAAATGGGATAGTCAAAATACACAGCTGTTAAAGGACATGCACAATGTCAACAAATAAACTGCAGGCAACAGTAAAATTAAAATTCAAAACCCAGCTCTGCTACAGTTGACAGCAAAGCTTCCAGGGAACTTAATGAAATCAGATTGTAACTTCAGTCTTCTTGAGCCCCGCCACAAATTAACGCCAATTTCTGTAATTATACCAATTTCCTGCAGATCATTTCTACAGCCATTCAGGTGTAGAACAGGGAAGATGCAGAGGGTATCCCTTTTAGATAAGAAAATTGTTATTATAAGTTATTAAGAAAGGATCTCAGCATTTGGTACAAAATTTTGTCATTATTATAAAAAGGATTGCTAGTTCTTTGAAAAAAAAATAATCATTGCAACTGAGCAAAAACTGCAACACTGAACTCACTGCTAGTATGACGAATCAGGAGACCTACCATTTTTAAACAGCATTTTAAAAAGAAGAAAGTACAGTTTGCTTGCTTTGCTCACTTTGAGATTGCTGTGGTAACCACAGAAAGTTTGGCTTTATTCAATATTAAAAAAACTGAAGAACCCAACCAACAAACTGCAAACAGATAGCATAGTAAAATGTGACATTTTTTGAGCATGTCTTTTGCTAATATGCCATTAATTAATCATAAATAACTACAACAACCCCGGCTAATTTTTCAAGCCAGCAAATCAAAAGCTTCCGATATCACTTTTCTATTTTCAGACCAGATATAGATTTGTTGAGACCCCTGTACGCTGTACAGGATCATAATAAGGTGTTACCTAATATGATTATGAAATAAGTGAAAATGAGCTGCTGCATTGGTTAGGATAACACAGTTCATTGTTCCACATTAACAGAAAATTAATCCGGTATGTTCACAGTAGCATACAGTTTATTTCATGTTCTATTCACCTAAAACCACTGTAGATGGAAAAAAAAATAAATACAATGAATGGAAAACAATGGGAAGCTTAAAGCTCTTGCACCAAAGTATATTTATTGCCCACAGCTTCAGAGAATTAGTACGTGAGTAACTTTAACATGCCAACATTGTGTTGCCTGTCAAAGAACTTCTCGACAGACCAATGCATCCCAAATCATTGAAGGAGCAGTATCACCAGGTCAACAGCCAATGCTGGTAACTTCACGCTACTGTGACATTATCATCATGCCAAGAGCAAGTGTCACTGAACACAAGAGCAAAGAGACAATATGTAGAAATAAAAACTTTTTTAAAGTTACAAGCAGCATACATAAGCGAATTTGCATTCTTTTGGACGTTACAATTACTCACACGACGCATTTCTGTTAGTGCTGAGATCTCAGTTCCTACAGGGGTCAAGTAACCTGACAGAGTCTATAGAAAAAGGATATAGGAAAAACCTTAAAAGGACCAGAGCAATAGCAGCAATTAAAATACACTGAGAGGCTCAAAAGCTTTCTGGTTAGTGAAAGTCAAAAAAGGAAAGGAAAATACTGTGTAATTTACAGAAAGGACAAATGTATTGGCATGATAGAAGTACTTATGTGTTTAAGTTTCAGAAATTAACACACTATTGAGGAAAGGAACAAAGCAGAGTTCGGCCAAAAATCAGACACTCCAGTAAAATGGTATTAACAGTAATGAATACAGGACTATGGACTGTCACACTAACAGGGGATGAATCCACCACCAACTCCGAGAAACTAGGAAGTCATCACTCTTCCTTTAGCCATTAAAAAATTGTACATTTTCATGGGAGGAATTTGGTACTGATCACAGTCAGGCACAGGCTACTAAACCAGCTTTCAATAGTTGCTTTTAACAGTTCCCTGAAGTTAAATAGAACCTTCTGTATGATAAAGGAGTATTTTTCATACTAGACTTTTCTCAGTGTTATTATTCCTTTATTTATGCAATATTCTACTGCATTTTTTCTTCACGTTTTGTTAAAAAATTATGTATATTTTCAACTATTAAAGAATTTTGTAAGAAGAGCTAAAAAAAAAATAAATTGGCAATTCTTTACCATAATATTACAAGAAAAAATTTGCAAAATCAATACTCAAAGCCCACTACTTTCAGAGCACATCAGTTCAGTATTATCTACAAATAATCAGTAACTTACCTGTATGGGAGTGTTCCTCTCTGTGGGAGGGATCATATCTGGGGACAACACTTGTGGAGGATCAATCCCTTTACTGACCTTCTGTTGAATGAGATACATTGCTAGTGCAAACTGATCTTTGCTTAGCTTTCCCATCTGTCTTGTGTCTGCCAAGGCCCTGGTAAAAAATAGATCATACTTATAAACAAGAAAAGCTTATTTCTCCACTACCAAGCAGCCTGAAATATGACATATACATGTAATTTTCTTTTGATTCAGCCTCATCAGAGCTTGCTTATTCTAGTGAAAGAGTTCCATAAACAGAGCAGTATTTTATTAGATGTATTTAACTGAATAGAACAGTGTTACTCTGAGAAAATATTTAGAGCACTAGAACTTCAAAAAACAATCACAATTCACAGACTGACCTATGCCTCACTCCCAGAAAAGCAAAGTGAGTATTTCTTTCTCCCTTATAGCCCACAATCAAAGTATCGCAACAGGACAAGTAAAAGAGCTCTAGGGAATTTTTGTTTTGTTTTGGTTTTTTATGTTAGGATCACTATTCTGGCTGGATAATCTGACTTTCCAGATCAGCAAGTTACAAAAATACAGCTACTAAGGAATTCTTACCATATATGTGCTAGGAGATTCTGAGACAGACCTGAATGCATAAATATGTCCTTTACTTCTTGGCCACTCACAAAACCATCCATGTCTGTGTCTGTTTTTAAGAAAATTTCATCGTATCGCACTTTTTCAGACATTGGTACTACCCAGTTCACAGAGGGCTGTAAAACAAAGTTTTATATTTCAAAAGAAGATAAACAGTCTTTATCAAGACAGTGAGTACAGGCAACATTGTTCAGAGCTGGATGTGCTGAACATCTTGCACAATCAAATCTCATTGATAAATAGGTATTTCCCCTTTTCCCATGAATGTTTTAGATTAATACTTTTTATCTGAATTATAAATAGTGATAAACAGCTATTCATCAGTTGAAAAGCATTCTTTGGAGATACGGACCCAACTAGGCATACTAAGTCTTCATGCTAATAACACAGGAGCTTTAGAAGGTAGATTAATGATTTCTTTGATATTAAAGCAGATACATGAATAAAACCTTTCTATGGTTTCACTTTATATGAAAAGTGAAAATTTGCTGTAAGATTTGCTACCTCATGGTCACTCTGACTAAAATTCACCTGCTATTCTTCCAAGTCTTACCATTCTCATTTCATTCCCTCCACCCAAATCACCCAAGAACAAACACATTTTCAGGAAAGTGCTCACATGAGGCAGAAATCAAAAAGCAGTTTTATTTTTTCCTGCAGTTTACTGATACAAAAAAAGAAAAAAAGATTTGTACCTGTGCTTGTTTGATGCTGTGCTTGGGAGACAAACTCCCTGTGCTGTTCAGACTGTTGACACTACCATGCGATGGGGTAGAACGGAGGCTGTCTTTTGGTGGAGGACTTGCAGGGAGAACAGGAACTGCACCAGGAAAGACAGGTGTCTTCTTTCTTTTAGAAGGTGGTATGAGAGAAGGGGGTAATAGTGAAGGAACTGGCTCTTTCTCAAGAGCTCTATAAACCAAATGCATTGCCTGCAAAGGCAAAAAGGTCAGATACCATTAACAATTAGAAGAAAAAGCAACAAGATTTTCCAGTATCAGTCATTTATATATCAGTAAAACAAAGACAGTAAGATTAGAGATGTAAACCAGAGCAGATAATTTTGAATGTAATTCCAAAAAGTTTAATCTTGATGACACAGGCAAGAGTCAGAAGATGGATTTGAGAAAGATCATTTAATAGCTCCATGTGAACAATTTAGATTAGAACAGTCAACTGTGGCACAGAAAGCTGCAAAGCTCTTGAGAAAAAGCTGAGTGATTTAAGCAGACACACTGTGAATTGAGAATTTAAAGCAACCTACCACAGCAAATTCGTCCTTGTCCAGGTGACCATCTTTATCAATATCACTGAGATCCCAGACCTACAGCAATTATGATAAAAACAATGATTTAGAGAACAAGTTGATGCTTTTTATGTTCATCACCATTATATTAAGCATGCTCTCTAAAGACTCCTAACTGAATTTTGTGAAGATCATATTAGTTATATCAGACCTAGCTATACATTCTCTGACGAAACAGACCGGATTAGTTTTCTGGCAATATGAATCAACGCTGGCTCTAACAAATTCTGGATGCAACACAGGCAGGTTTTTCATCTTTCTGTGTTGCAATTAAGGAGCCATCAAGCTGACTAGAAACATCCAGAGGTGGCTATCAGAATTGTCCAGAGCATGTGGGCTAGCAGATTGTCCAAATCTGTCTTAAAAGAAAGTTAAAATATTTTAGAAAGGTCAATACATTTCTAATTTACATTCCATTCCTAAATTTCTAGTTTTCATTTTTAGTAAAAAAAAAAATGTCCATCCCTCAGAATTTTCTATAGGAGAGAATTTAAGCATCTATTAATTTTAGTTCATTATTAGGTCGAGTACAGTCAATGAAACTTGCAGGAGATTTAGGATACTCAGCCATCAGCTAGCACTGTTTAATCACAACTATGACTTGGAGACAGTCTGGTAGAGTGGACAGAATGCTAAGACTGAGGCTCAATCAATCATCCGAACTCTACTCCCAGCTTTATCACTGGACTCTGGTACAAATTGAAACTAGGTGACTAGTCCTTTGCCCATTTCCTCAGTCCCCTATCTTGTCTGCAAACTCTTCTGGAATAGGAAAAACTTTCCTGAATTTCCACCGTGACAATAACAATGTAAAACACAAAACCTTTCAAGACTGAGTACTTCACAATATTCAAGTACAGAATTAAAACAAGTCATACTTAGACTTTGTAGATAATACAGAGAAAGGCAGTTCTTCCTGAAGAAATTAAAGTATATAAAAGCAGATACGGCTCTTACATGGAATGTATTCATTCACAGTCATATCAATATGCGAAACATTAAAGAACACAAATTTTAAATGGAAGCAGAAAAATACTTTAAGGTCTGCTTCCCTTGCAAATATGCAATGGATGCACTCAAATCTCAGGAAAAAAAACCAAAAACAAAACTTGACAATTTGACAGCTACAATAAACTGTTTTAAAGTGTTCTCTTGTACAAACAGTGGATAAATTTAATAGTATGTCTAATAACTTTTATTTGGAAAAATGGCAAAACAGTGGAATATAATGTTATAAAAGCAATTATGGTTTAGGAGAGATCTTTCTTGTTTTTAGACAACCAAAATCAAAATTTCCAGCTCTTAAAATGAATACAGAGATAATTAAGCCAATCTACTCTAGGGCTCAAATTACTACTATTATTCTTATTTCTAAGTGGAAGACTTCAGAGCCACTTAATAATGTTCTTGCTTTATAGTAGGCACTCGACGTAAAATCTCAGCCAAACCCTGATCTATGTTGATAAGTTACATTTAAATATTTAACACTGCAACTATGAGAAGATAAATAGAGAATAGCTAAATCTAAACAGTGTACTTACCCTTCCTAGGATATCAAGAGGTAGCTTTGAATTCATCAGTACTGGTTTTACTTTGTCTCCTGAAAGTAAACCATTTACTGGCAAAAGGCTTTCAAAAATACCATCAAACTTTGCTTTTTCTTCCACCTAGTTGGTAAGAAATAGCCTGAATAAGTAAAAAAGTGTGCCTGTGTGAGTGTTGAAAATGAGATCTTGCAAGAAATCAAGATTGGTCAGTAACGTATTCATTCTAAATTTCCAAGCTTTCTTGCAAGTGCCACCATGCTGTATTTAAATGTAAACCCCATGGAGCTAGATGTAGGAGCTTAATTTCAAAGCCAAGGTTATCATAGCTAAGAGATTTGAACATGCAGCATACAAGATGTGTTTCTGTAGCGTTCTAAAAGGACAATGCATTCTAACCAGGTTTTAAACAAACTTTGACAAACTCTGTAGGACTAAAAACTATTCTTCCCAAATGATTTGCTTCCCACTTTAAAGTACAACAAGCAAGCACAAAAAAAATCAGCATTAGAAGTTACTTTATTAAATTTCTACCTTTTGGAAAATGCTTGCATTTGAAAACTAACTAAATACAAATATTCCCATGTATGTATCAAAAGTTACTTTTTTTCCAATGATATATATTGCGTGTTTCACTGAATACTAATTGGAACATATGAACTGAGGCTTTAAATTAATATTTCAGGATGGATTTGGTGAAATGCTTTGCTGTTCTCAGTGGGGTTCCTTTACACAAACATGACAGTGCCTCCTATTAGGATTCTGGAAGAAATCCAGGCAGAAGATTAAAATTCATTGTGTCTTAAAAACATCACACCAGGGGCTGTCAAAGGCTTGTTTAATAATTATTTCAAATATAAAACTACAGCTCAATATTCTCTATTGTGCAAAAGTCTGTCATCAGAAAGGAAGGACTTCTGAAATGGGAACTATATTTGATACAAAGTTATCTCACTGGGAAAACTGCAGACAAGGAAAATATTTACTTTTAAAGAATGGATGGAATGCATTGTCTTTCACACTTACCCTAACAGCCCAGTGGGTCTCTGTTGAAGGTGGTGTGATCAGCAAAGGACTGCTAGTGTCATGCTAAAAATTAAAGAATTTTTTATTTATATGGATATATAAAAAAAATACACTTCAGTCTCTAATCCTTACTAATTGCCTTAAGAGATAGTTATAGTCATGAAGCTTAACTGCACTGAAAAACAGGAAAAAAGGCTGCACATGTGCCCAAATAAAAAAAAAAGTCATACTGATTTGATACTATTACAGCACTCAATAAGGCCATCAGGTACCCGAACACGGAACTAAGACAAGCTAAAAGAGCTTGCAGAGCAGCTACTGCAGGCAAAGCTGCAGTCATGCCCTTTACTACTCACTCCTGTTGACCTAACCCAAAAATAATCTCTTTTTTTTCCTTTTCTTTTTTCATAAATTTAGAGTTTAGCCACATCGGCTTCCTGAACAAGCTGACTGTAGTTAAATTTGCATCGGTTTTGCAGTCCAGGAAGGAGGAATATTACTCAGGAAGACAGGATCACGGCAGCCATGACTGCAGTTGTCTTAAGGAACAGTTTGAGAGCAGTCCAAGTCTCAGAACCATGACATTTATGAAACAGAAGATTATTCCAGCGTTCCGTCTGAAGCCTTAGTTCTCATATAACACACACATACATTTAGGTATATATTACTTACAAATTTGGGAGGTGGCACAGTCAAGTTCAGACTGCTCAGGTTAACATCATGGCCATTCTGTGCACACGCTACAAGGCGCAACGCGACATAGAAACCCTACAAACAATAGTGTTTTCTATTAAAAAAAGCAACCAGTCTAAATCAGTCTCCAATAACTCATTTATAATTTTTACTAACACTGCATAAGTGCAACTCAGTAAAGAAAGGAAACAGCTATACAGAATCATCATAGAATCATTGAATGGTTAGGGTTGGAAGGGA